TCACTGTTTATTTTATTTGTATCTTTACTCTATTGTATTTATTTGTGCTGTTGCTTGTAGTTAGATAGATTATTCATATTTTCTTTATTTTTATTTGACAGTATAGTTTTTCCCTAAACATAGCACATACCGAATCGTACCGAAACCGTGACCCTAAAACCGTGATACAAACCGAACCGTAAGTTGAACCGTTCCACCCCTAATATATATATATATATATATATATATAGCCTAGCTTTATTATGTTTTTCTCTGCTCGCAGAAGCACTGCAGGTGCATGATGTGATATTACCATGTGAATCCTCATGTTCTGTTGTTTGCTGCTTTTTGTGCATGTAAAATTAATCCCCGGGAAACAAATGTTAGTATTTTTAACGAGTTTAATTCAATTCTAATTTAAAATAATCTTGTCGGTTAATGGTTAACAATCGGTTAACGAGCGTCGGTTAGGAAAAATAACCGAAATGAACATCCCTTGTGCGAAACTCAAGTGTCACAATTTCCATAAGTTATATCGACAACTCGCCTGTAAATGTGGGTGGATGATGATGACGATAACATTGATGATGTTGATCCTGTCCCTATTTTAAGAGCCATTTATTGGCATTATTTTGACAATTTATATCTTCCCTTTAAATGTCATTACAGTATTATAAAAAAGTATTTAATAAATGAATTATTAATGTATGTTTGTATTTCATTTATATTTCTTAAGGCAGTGGTCACCAACCTTTTTAGGCCCAAGATCCCTGACCTCGGCCTTTATGAAAGACAATATCTACCTATTGAAGAATTGATAGAAAAAGACATCCCAGATTGTACTTCAAATTTGAGGCCTTTTACTTAGTATTTTAATTAGTGATGCGCCGATCATAGCTGAATCAGAATTCAGATTTTCTTTTCTTTCTTTCTTTTTTTTTTAACTAGCAAATTGGATTCTGATACTGATAGTGATTTTTAAGCAAATTTATTTATTGGCTATTTGCTCTATAACAAACAAACTGGCTTTAAACAAAAATATCTAGCCATTTGAAATTAGAGGCAACCACTGCATTTTAATCACGATCTGCACAGGCAGTTGTTTTTGATTTGATTTAGATTAATTCCAGGATTTAAACAAAAACAGAATGGTCTGACTTTAGGTGTTATTTATTTATTTGCTACATAAAACATCTGCACGAAACAAAAACAACAGGGATGCGTTCAGCCCCGACAAAACGGTGCAAAACGTTTTTGAACAGGGTTGCCAGGTTTTCGCAATAAAACTAGTCCAATCTCGTTGGGTTGATCGACGGGTTGGCGACCACTGTCTTAAGGCATCAAACTAACTGCCCATTGGAAAAAAAAAAAATCCCCTATGATGCTTTGTTTCTTTCTCCCTCTTTCAAAATCTTCTTTCTTCCTCTCAAATCTCCTCTTTCTTTTGTGCTTCATTCGTGGGCTCTTTTATCGCTGCTGTTGTTGTTTTTCTGGGGTCCCCAGCGTTGAGCTCCTGTCAGCATGGCTGAGCGCTTTAAGCTTGTCCCACGGGTGTCATCATCTGCCCCTCACTCATCTATCACTCGCTCTACACACACACAAGCACCAATCACACAACCCCTGGAAACGCCACCTCACCTTAACCTTCACCCCAGACCTGACGCAACAGCCCTGGGGTGTGAGAGTGTGTGTGTGTGATTGGGGGATATGGAGGCGTGTTTATGTGTTTGGGGAGTAGACTAATGACTGTTTTAACAAGAGTGAGGACTAAAGCATCCATTAAATGACATCATAATCAGCAAAATTACTAAATGAAAGAGTGATAAGCATAAGGGGTCATTAGTGGACTTGCGAAGGCAAGCATCCCTATTGCTATTGCTTAAACATAGTGTTTGGGATTTAATCTCAATGGTAGTTTCTCTGTGGGCGCAGAAGCCACTGGAAGTACAGTTTGAAATCTGCCATCTTTGCTAATGGATGCTCAGTTCTGGCCAATCACATGAGCTGCAATTGCCATGTGACACTTCAGAAAATTTAAAAATACTGTATAATTAGTGGTTGTGTGATTTTGGTTCTACATAAATAGACGAATTGTAAGGTGATTATTCTCTGTCAATCTTTTTTTCTTCTGGGTGTCTGATCGCTGTTGACAAATCCAGCATATGCTGGTTGGGTATGTTTTGAGCTGGTTATGCTGGTCTTGAGCTGGTTCTAAGCTGGTCCTGAGCAACTAGCTCCTGCTCAGGACCAGCTCATAACCAGCTTAAACCAGCTCAAACCAGCTGTCATGATTCAAAACATACCTAACCAGCATATGCTGGTTTTTTCAATAAGGGTTTCCTCTGTTGGTTGGTTCTGTGATTTCCTACATATGTAGCACTTCCAACAGCTTATGTAGTTTCAGTAGCCAGACTGCTGTTATTATGGGTTGACAACTTTACAGGCACATTGAGATTAAACACAGTTTGTGTGTGTGTGTGTGTGTGTGTGTGTGTGTGTGTGTGTGTGTGTGTGTGTGAGAGATGCAGAGGGATTCCTGGAATCCGGTCTGAAGCAGCAGATGGTTTTCAAATGTGGTCTGGGCCACAGGTCCCTCATGTGTACCCACATGTAGAGATGGTGGAATTAAAAAATGAAAGGTCTAGAGTGCTTTAAAGTGTGCATGACTGCATTTTTAACCAGGATTGTTAGCTGTCTAGGGCAAAGCCATGTGTGTGATCAGATACCACAGGAACTGGATGCACAAAGAGGACACAAAATTTCCAGGCTGCCAGTGTCATAAATGTTGTCAAGCAGTGATTTAGTGTTTTTTTCATGTGTGTTTTCTGTGTTTCTCTCTTGCAGCTCAGGGCTGTGTAAGTGCAAGACAGGTGTATACGGGCCCAAGTGTGACGACTGCCACCCTGGATTCTTTCACTTCAGCAGCACAGGATGCCAACCGTGCCAATGCAACAACCACTCTACCTACTGCCACCCTCAGTCAGGTCAGTCCAGCACACGTTCAGCATCATTTAAAGGGGTCTTGACGTGAGAAACCAAATTTCCCTTGATCTTTTGATACAGAAGAGGGCTTTGTATGCTTAATAAATCCTGCAAATTTAATAACTTAAAGGGATAGTTCACCCAAAAATGAAAATTCTGTCATTAATTACTCACCCTCATGTCATTCCAAACCTGTCAGACCTTCGTACATCTTCAGAACACAAATTAAGATGTTTTTGATTAAATCCGAGACCTCTCTGACCCTCCATAGATAGCAAGGGAACTACCACGATCAAGGCACAGAAACGTAGTCGTGGTACTCTCCACAATGGCGGCGCACCGCTGCAGACAGGATGAGGAGAAGAACAATTGTTGAATAAAGCCGATATTTTTGTTTTCTTTGCGCACAAAAAGTATTCTCGTAGCTTCGTAAAATTACGGTTGAACCCCTGATGTCACATGGACTATTTTACCGATGTCCTTACTATGTTTCTGGACCTGGGATCATTGCAGTTGTGTTTCTGTCTATGGAGGGTCTGAGAGCTCTCGGATTTAATCAAAAATATCTTAATTTTTTTTCCCCGAAGATGAACGAAGGTCTTGTGGGTTTGGAACGACATGAGAGTGAGTAATTAATGACAGAATTTAAATTTTTGGGTGAACTAACCCTTTAAAATGTCCTCATCATCAATAAAAAAGCATTTATGTAATAACCCTCAGAAAACTGCTTGTTTTGGATCCGAGGGACAAGGTGATGTCAGCTGGGCACAGTCGTTTGCATAAACACTCTCTCCAGAGCAAGACATTGACGAATAGTCATCTTCTCACCATAGGCCCCGCCCACTGGCATTCAGTCACTTAACGGCACTTGATCACGCTGAATGCGAGCGTCGCGTCGTGTCAAAAACAATTAGAAATTACAATCATTGCCGCTATCTTGTCTACACTGGATACAGTATACAGATGCGCGTTCACTTTCTGACACAGTCCACGTGCTTGAGTCTGTCGTCAATAGGGCAAATGGAGTTTGGTTTAAACAGCTTGTTTGCGTCTTTGTACAGATATCAGAAGGATTCCAGCGTAAGGAACAAGTGGATAGTTTATTTTTAATGGCACCCCGGATCGTGTCAGAGGATTGATCGGAGCATTTTGTTTTGTAAATGAGGCAAAGTGTCATGTAGAGTTCACAAAGAAACATTTCTTGAAAGATAAAGCAGTACTAGATTTGACTGCATCAACTGTAAGTAAATTATTTCATATTGCTTCGTCTGGAAATGACCGTTTTATTTTGATCATGTTGTCAAAGCACACAAAACGTGCAATAGCGTGGGGGCGTTGATACTGTTTCCTATGCAATGACGTTAGCCAATCATAACAGTGGCTGATTACTGAGAAGCCTTAAAGGACATGCCCCTTAAAAACAGCCTGTTTCTAAGAGAGGTTCAGAATGAGGGTTGAAAAATCTTTTTTTCACATATTTATTTGTTTTTTTGTGCAAAAAACTTTATTAACTTAATAAGTAAACCTCAAGGAACATATAAAAAAAAATAAATAAAAAAAAATAATAATCCATGTCATGACCCCTTTAAAGGGTGGTAAAAACACCTATTTCAGAACCGGTTAAACAACACAACACACCAACTGCTTCTGATCCAGTCAATTTCATAAATGCACATTGTGATTCACCAATGCACACAACAAAATTATCCAATATAGCATACATGGGTTTTGTAAGTCCACCGTACATTGCTTGCACAAATACATACAGCCAGAGGCGGACAGTAGTGAAGTATTTTTACTCAGCTGTAAAAGTACTTTTCAAGTGTCTGTACTTTGTCAGTGTTTTTCTTTAGAAAAGTTTTACTTCACAACATTTCAAAGCATAATATTGTACTTTTTACTGCACTACGTTTCATATTAAATATCATTTAATACTTAATTACATTAGAAATCTAGTACTTTCTTACTTTTACTCAAGTAAAAGTAATTCAGAGTTTTACTTGAGTATAAGAAAGTACTAAATTTTCAATGTTCTTAAGTATTAGGTAAAAAAAAACGTTTATTTATGAAATGTAGTGCAGTAAAAAGTACAACAATATGCTTTGGAATGTAGTGAAGTAAAAGTTTTCCAAAGAAAAACACTCTGATAAAGTACAGATACTTTTTAAATTTACACGAGTAAAGTAAAAATACTTCACTACTGTCCAACTCTGCATACAGCTATAGTTTAATGCATTTGTACTCTGCAGAAACTATATATGAGGACACTGTTGTATTTTTATTAACTTTTGGAACTGTTATTTTGCAGTGTTTATTCAAGCTGTTTGATCAGTTATATCAAGAAGTTCTAAAGACCGGTTACACTCGTGGTATGGATGGGTCATGGTATATATGATGGGCTAAATATGATGAATTTATGCCATTCAGAACTCTTACAAAGTGAAAACAAACACTCTGGCGATCCATGTACGGATTTCTCACACATCGTTCATGATCTCAGTTTGAAGCATCTGTCATAGTGAAGCATCACCATGAGTGTGAGAAAATATACATACTCAACACATGCTATAGTTAACACTAAAAATATTTTAAACCTGGAAGATGAAAATAGCACACAAAAGCTCCAAATTAACTATAGTTTCTCCTACAATTAAAATGAATGGATGCTAATCTTACATTGTCTGCTAACATTGTGCAAAAAATCTCTCACATCTCTCTGTTAAAATCTTAGAAAATGTAGTTTAATGTCTCTCTACATTGAATATTGAGCTAAATACAACTTCAAAAACAGGAATTATATCCATAAGATCATCCACCTTGACAAAGAATTGAACTGATCTGGTTCTTGTGTTCAATTCTCTGCAGGTGAAGATTGTCTATATTTCAGTCAAGCTATACTTTCTCTTTTCCTACAAGAATATTATGATACTTTTGTTTTGGAATGACATGAATTAATGCAAAATTTCTTTTTTTGGGTGAACTGTTCCTTTAAAATGATATCTCCAGATTTGAGATTGACTCACCTAGAGCGATTCATCACAACATCCTCGACACTTCCCTCTCTTTTTCTCTCTTCTTCCATGTATCCTAGGCAACCTGGACTTAATTAACCTCAATTTGAATCAGGACCAAAAAACCCTATCAACATTATGATCATGCTGGTGTGTGTGTGTGTGTGTGTTAATCTGTTAAGCAAACCTGCTGACATCTGAGAAGTGTAGGCGTGTTTTCCTTAAATCATTTCACCCGGGCCTCAGTCTACTAAAGTCAGAGATGTGTTTGTCAACTGCTTGTTCAAGTGCATGTGCACGCGTGTGTGTCTAGGAACCCATCTGTCTCTGTCTTTCCATCTCTGCAGTGTGTGTGTGCAGATGGTAGCTGGTAACCTTTCCTCGATACGGAGAGCCACAGTCAGATTTACAGCCCTCCTCAGTCATAAAACTCAATCAGCATCTCCAGAGACTGCTTACAGTTCATAGACTCACAGCCGCCCTGCAGCATAATACCACACACAAACACACACACACACACACACACACACACACACACACACACACAAGAGACAGGCAGTAACTCACAGAGCCAAAACAATAGTGCGCAAAGTACACAAAGGCTTTTGGCCAGTTAGATTGCTTTGTCATTGTCCACGCAAAACTCCTACTGGAAAACTGTAACTTACAGCTTCAAATGTGATAAAGCCCAAACCAAATGCAGTGCTTTCATGTAATTGTAACAAAGAAGAAAAATATAAGCTCTGAAATTAAGAGTGAACGTAATTAAACCATAGGAAAAATCTCTCCAAAATGACAAAGATATACAGACACAAGATTGCATATTTTCATCAACCACAATATGTATCATACATGTACAAAATATGTACTAAAATATGTACTATTAAGGTACTAATACGCACACTTTTTTCTCTAATAATTTTAGGCTTTCATTAAAATTTATAAACATTATTATAATATTAAGTACATAATGCTTAATATTTTCTGTTAATTTCAATTAATATACTTGAAATTACATGCAACTTTGGTTTATAGTATAATATAATTTTTTAATATAAAAATAAACTGCTTACCTGTTAACAGATTAGCTACACTTGCATGCGTGTGTGTGTGTGTGTGTGTACTGTATATATATATATATATATATATATATATATATATATAGGAGCAAGGAAAAGGAAAAATCTGATTTTAGGTTTTTCCACAGAACTCCACAAACATATGCTATAAGGCGGATTGAGAAGGATGACAAATATCAACTGCTGGACTGCTAAGAAAATTATGTTTCTGTCATGGACAAGATAGTGTTTTCCAGGGTTCCTACACATTTTCCATTTCAAAATTCCATAATTTTCCACACTTCTCTGTAGATTTTTATGTTTGATATGCTTTTACACTTTCACTGACTGCATACATTTTTTATATATATATATATATATATATATATATATAGTTTTAAAATTCAAATTAAATAGTGGAATATTTAACATAGCTTTAAACAATTATGACTAATTAACTAGTTGCCAAACTGATTTATCAAAATGTATGCTGTGCCTAAGTTATGTTAAGTGTCATGAATGAAAAACGTCAGAAGCTAGTGTTATTTTAGTTTTATTATATACCACTATCCTATTTATTAGTACTTTAAATTATCCTTTATTTTTAGATTTTAAGTTTTAATTTTCATTTTAAATTGAATTTAATTTTAATTAATTGTAGTTAATTATGTTTTATCTTTTTTTTTATATATATTTCTATTTAGATTATTATTTTTTTCTTATTTTGCTTTACTTATTTTTTACTTATTTAACTTTTAATTTTAGTACTTCAACTGAATATAAATGAATATTTATATTTTATTTTAGTTCATCTTAATTTCAATGAACAAAAATAAAATTAATTGTTTTGGTCAACATTAACAGCACTGACAGAAACTGTGGCCTTTGTTTTATATCTCTCCACTTGAAAACCCTGATCTTGAATGTTAACTAGAGCTCCAGTACAGCATTTCTTAGATTGAGGCCTAAATCATCAAGAAATTACCTAGTGCCATTTAAGACCGAGAGCACTTTAAACATAAGCTTTAAACTGGTGATAGGTTCTTCTCTGAAAAAGCAGATTTCTTTGTTTTAGAAAGAGCTTTTCAAGGCTCACTGTGCTAAACTAGCCCTTACCTTATATAATGATTTACATAAGATTCTCAGGAAGTCTGATGTTCAGTCAGAACTATTGCTAATGATCAGTTGTTCTGTATATTCTCCTTCTCTTCCTCAGGTATTTGTTTGGACTGTCAGGACAAGACTCAGGGCCACAACTGTGAGGAGTGTCTGCCCAACTTCTACCGGCATCATGGTGAGGGGTCTTCGGACACCTGTCTGCCTTGTCCCTGTTCCTCCGAGAGCTCCAGCAGCAGCTGCCATCTCGGTGAGTCTGCGTCTCTGTGACACGCTGACAGGGGTCAGGGCAGCTTCTGCGCTCAGCACATGATGTCCTGAAAGTGACTGGGAATTATTCAGCAGGGCAGAACAATAGTAGGCACAGAAAGTTCGATTTTGATGTGAGATGTGATAACAAACTTTTTTCCTTTTTGCATGACATGCACTGATGGATCATGTACAAGAGGACAAGGACATTTACATTTCCGGTCAAAAGTCTGGAATAATTAGGATCTTTTGATGTTTTTGTCATTTATACACAACCTGGTATTCAATCTTTGTAACAGCTAAAAATTTGTATGGTACTGAAGAGCCAATCAGCGGCTTTGTTTCCATCTCAGCTGCCTTTCCATTGGATGCACTTGCACAGCAACAGCTATGGTGATGTGGCTTTGGGTTGTCACTTTACATTTACGGTCACTGGAGCCTGAGGAGGAAAGTCAATGAGCCAGCGTGAGGAAGAGAGAGAGAAAGGGCACTGAAAGTTCAGAACTCTTATATAAGTGTACTCACTCAGTGTTATTTATATATTTATAGGCCAAATATGTAATGCATAATGTACAGTCAACCGATCATTATATTTGTACTAATAGTGATCGTCAGACTGTACAGTATGCCAGCTATTTGTACTTAACAAACCAACAAATAAATATATATAATGTGGACATGAAATATTTATTTGAGTTTAATATTGTCTTATAAAGGAGAGAGATGGAAAATGCAAGAGAGTGGAAGATGAGGGAAGTGTACTTGAAATTCCCATCGATCTGCTAAGTTACTAAGTTACTGCTAAGTTACTACCTATTAAGCTGGGTATCCACCAAAACGCTCAGAGAAAAATTGTGCAAATATTTAAATAAAATAATTTAATAAATAATTACATTTAAATAAATAATTTATACATATAATTTAAATACAACTATTTAACTATAAATGTTAATAATTTAAATCAAATCTTTAATGTAATAGTTATAAATATAATCATTAATTAATAGAATATTTATAATAAATAAATAACTTGATAAATACTAATAAATAATGTAATAATTTGAAAATAATTGATTATATAAAATAATTGATTAATATAATACTGACAAATAAATAAAAGTGATAAAATAAAAACAAAAATAAAATACAAAATACAAAAATAAGCTAAAATATAGAATTTGACATCAGTACTGCTTAATTTTGCTTTTTAAAGAGGTTGAAAATCATGAGCATAATTGAAAACAATTTTTACATTTTTTTTTTCAGTTTTATGTGTCTCTTCAGGTTTATACATCTAACAGTACTTTTTACTGTGGAAAAAATACAAATAGATAGATAGATAGATAGATAGATAGATAGATAGATAGATAGATGGATTCATACACACATAGACAGACACAGAAATGTCCCACCGAACTGATGTCTGATGTCAAGCCATTTCTTGGGGTCTTTCATAGTTACAAAACCCTCAAAACACTCAAAAAGAGCAAAAATTCTAGGCCAAATGTGTGTGTGTGTGTGTGTGTGTGTGTGTGCATTTCTAAACTCTTGAGTCGTCTCCCCTGGTGATGCTGAAGGTGGTGAAGCCTCGTCTGTTGGCATCACACTGTCTGTAGCTGGAGCATGAGGCTGGCTCAGGCACGGCCCACGAGATCTCATGGCAGGAACGGGAGGAGTGCTGAAATGAATGCCTCTGCCGTCTGGCCGCTTCCTTCTGTCACTGGCCGGCAGTTTGTCTCCATCTCGTGTCACAGGCTGTGGCAGCGAGGGGGTCCGTGTGGGGGGAGATCTGCTTCAGGGAGGGGTTGCCCTGGCAACAGCGGCCATTGAGGAAACTGATCAGCGGTGTCATGAATATTGAAACTGCAGAAGCTTGCATTACTGCATGATGTTTCTGCTAGCAGGCGGTTGTAGCTCAGTCAGGGAGTGCTGCAGCAGTCGGGCAGGTCAGGATGTTAATCTAGCACAGTCATTCACACATCCTGCTAACTGGCTTTCTTTCCAATCATGAATATTTCATTGATGACACCGGTTGTGTGTGTGTGTGGGCCAGTGCTGAACACACTTAACTTAAGAGTCTTAAGGATGGCTCCTCCTCCTGATTCCACTTACAGGCACATCACGGCAATACCATGGTTTCTGGGTATGGCACTGTGGTAATACCTTGGCATTTTTAAGTATCTTGGAGTACCATAGTGTTTCTATCTATCTATCTATCTATCTATCTATCTATGGGAAGTCGTGGCCTAATGGTTATAGAGTCGGACTTGTAACCCAAAGGTCACTGTCACTTTTTTATCTATCTATCTATCTATCTATCTATCTATCTATCTATCTATCTATCTATCTATCTATCTATCTATCTATCTATCTATCTATCTATCTATCTATCTATCTATCTATCTATCTATCTATCTATCTATCTATCTATCTATCTATCTATCTATCTATCTATCTATCTATCTATCTATCTATCTATCTATCTATCTATCTATCTATCTATCTATCTATCTATCTATCTATCTATCTATCTATCTATCTATCTATCTATCTATCTATCTATCTATCTATCTATCTATCTATCTATCTATCTATCTATCTATCTATCTATCTATCTATCTATCTATCTATCTATCTATCTATCTATCTATCTATCTATCTATCTATCTATCTATCTATCTATCTATCTATCTATCTATCTATCTATCTATCTATCTATCTATCTATCTATCTATCTATCTATCTATCTATCTATCTATCTATCTATCTATCTATCTATCTATCTATCTATCTATCTATCTATCTATCTATCTATCTATCTATCTATCTATCTATCTATCTATCTATCTATCTATCTATCTATCTATCTATCTATCTATCTATCTATCTATCTATCTATCTATCTATCTATCTATCTATCTATCTATCTATCTATCTATCTATCTATCTATCTATCTATCTATCTATCTATCTATCTATCTATCTATATATATATATATATATATATATATATATACAGGTTTAAATAAATAAATTACAAAGAGACCACTTCATGTCATTTTATTCTGCACTTTTGTAGAATAGTGTCAGGCCTCAAATTTGGTGCTATGGCGCCACGTAGTTGTCAGAGTTGGAACTACAAGTTGTCCCTAAAAATATTTTACACTGGTTACTTAAAAAAACACTTGTAAGATGCTAAAGAGTACTGTGTATATATATATTGTATTGTACAAATAATAACTTAAAAAGGGGTTGACTGACAATTTTTTATTATTTCATCAACAATAACAAAGACAAGACAACAAAATCCATCATTCATGACAATAATTCAGTTACTTTAATTCAAACATAGTACTGTTCACCATAACAAATGCCAAAAGTTCAGAATCAAAGAATAACAATTTACTAGTAATACACTAGTGTGTTTAGAAGAAAAATCTAGAAAGAATATGGTTGTTATCTGATACTTCTTTTTTTTTTCATGTTGATAAAACCTTAATTTGTTTGCTATGTATAAATTAATAAATGTTCATGTTTACTTAAATGTGGTTACAGTTCGACATGTTCTTCTACAACTAAAATTGTCAATTAAAATTTTATTTTCATTTACTTAAATTTTAGTCAGAGTGAAATGGAATACATTAATGAATATGACATGACAAATAAGACTAAATAAAAATGACTTTTTTTTTCTAGCAAAAGACAAAAACAAATTAGATGTTTTTCATAGATTGTATGAAGTCAGTTCCCTTCAACTTCACACAGGTGTCTTACAAAATATATATCTTGTTGCATTACGTAATGCATTCATACATTTTCAAGTATGTATGGCACAACTATCCAAATACCTTTTTGGCCCACTGTACATTAAAATGAATCCAGGATTAGAAAGGGATCTGAAGGCTGTGCATGAGGAAACTAAAATATTACTGTATAATGCTTCATAAAATAAACTACAAATCCCTTGTTTGCACATTTGTGTCATAATGTAACTCTAGTTTTTGATCAGATCTGTTCAACTGCATTTACAGATTCCAGTGGACGACCTGTATGTGACCAATGTAAGCCTGGCTTCTCCGGCCCGACATGCAACGTGTGCACGGACGGTTTATTTAAATCCGCAGGCGTCTGTGTGCCCTGCGACTGTAATGGGAACGCCGACCCTCGCTCCATGCCACAAATCTGCCACCCTGAGACTGGCCACTGCCACCACTGCATCAACCACACAGCGGGAGCACACTGTGAGATCTGCACTCGTGGATACACGGGGGACGCCCGCTACCACAACTGCACCCTGAGAGGTACTGTGGAAGCATACACTACTGCTCAGACGTTTGGATTGCTTTAAATGTTTTTGAACATATCTTACGCTTAACAAGTCTGCATTTATTTGATCAAAATACAATTAAAATAGGAATATTGTGAAATATGATTACAATTTAAATTACTGTTTTATATCTTAATATATTTTTAAAATGTAATTTATTCATGTGATGCAAAGCTGAATTTTCAGCATTATTACTCCAGTTTTCAGTGCCACATGATCCTTCAGAAATCATTCTAATATGCTGATTTGCTGCTCAGTTATTATTAATCATTATTGGTGCTCAGTTATTAATTATGCTTCTCAATGTTGAAAACATGCTGCTTAATATTCTTGTGGAAACTGTCATTATTTTTTTCAGGATTCTTTGATGAATAGAAAGTTCAACATACATCTTTTGTAACACTATAAATGTTTTTACTCAAATCAATTGGATGCATCATTGCTGAAAATATTATTATTATTGTTGTATTGCGTGTGTGTGTGTGTGTGTGTGTATCAGGAAATCATCGTATTAAAATGATTTCTGAAGGATCATGTGACATTGAAGACTTGAAGTAATGAAGCTGACAATTCAGCATTGCATCACGAATAAATTACATTTGAAAATATGTTAAAATAGAAAACGCTTATTTTAAATTGTAATAATATTATGATAATTAATAATATTACTGTATTTTTGATCAAATATGTAGCCTTTTAAAAAAAAAATATATATATATTTTTCCAAATATTTTAGTGTACATAAAAATGTTCCTTGACATGTTGCACTGATAGAGTGTTTGGCATGTGATATACCGCAATTTCTGTCCATCTAAAATTACCAATTATTTTTAACAGACACTCATATGATATCATGAAACTTGCAAACGTTTGCAAGTCCTGTGATTCTTTCTTCCTCAAAAGTGGTATCTTGCAGCCAGTTTCAGGCTGACTGGTAAAAACGTCCAGCCAGATTCCCTGAAACTGCAAGTCCGAATGGAGGATTTTAGCAAGTGCTCACTGTTTTGTGTGCAATATTTATCAGGTGGTCATTGAATAGACAGTGGGAGTGTGACATGATCCCACTGATGAAAAAGCATGTGTCACTGCATTTTTTTATCAGTAACTCATAATGAAGTCACGTCAAAGATATGCGGGTGCATTTGTTGCAGAAGTGGTTGCTGGGATACCATCACATGAGTCATGAATAATGAATGCAAGCTTTGATGTAGTCTGGATATTTTTTTATGATTTTATTATACCGTTCGCACTTTTACCTTAACTAAGGATAAGGATCCTTGAGGCGGATGTTTATGGTCAGTGTAGACTTCCTGGGCACTCTATGCTTTTGACAATGCCTTATTTAAAGTATTATAACATTAGATATTAGATTAACTTTAGGGTAGATGACAAATGAACATGGACATACAGATGACGAGGTTTGACGTTAAATGTATATATTTGCATTTTTCTTCTACTCTTTTGACAGATTTGAACAGTTAGACACCCATATGCTGAATCCACACAAATCAGCAAAGTTTTAACATCTTTAATGCTTGTTAATGCATTAATGTTTTCCATCATGTGGAGGCATCAGACCACAGTACTGAAAATATGAATAAAGGTCATGATAGTTCAAAGTAGCTCCACGTCAAATATTACAAATGTGATTAATAGTGGGGGGTAAAACTTGACATGCTTGACGTGTCTTATCTGCTTCCTGTTGGGGTGCCTTTTTAAATTTTTTTCCTTTAAATTTAGCTTATTTTGAAATAGATTTTGTGAGTCACATGATGCAATAATTGATTGCAAAATAGTAAATCCATTTTTATGGAAATGCATAGTACTTTCTTGAAATAGATCCTAATAACAGAATTTAAAAATAATTGCATTTTATCCAGATTTTCATCATACAAACAGCCACACCACAGAGCAGTTTCCTTTTTTTTTTTTTTTCAGCAGATGGTAAGTTAACTGCTTTCTGGAATACACCCCTGATCTCACCATCATCCAGTCTGTCTGGAAAGACATGAACAATCTGAGACAGACTAAATCCAGAAGAACTCTGTCAACGTCTCCAAGATGCTTCAAGAGACCTACCTGCAAAGCTACCTGAAAAACTATGTGCAAGTGCACCTATAGGGCAAAAGCTGCTTTAAACACAAAGGATGGTCACACTCACACCAAATGTTGATTTAATTTAGTTAATAGAAGTTAATTGATAAAGAAAATCTATTTATGACTTTAATTTTGACAGCATCCTCATTTTACAGCATTTTTTACACTAGTGCCTAAAACTTTTAACAGTGATGGAGCTTTACAGGTAGGTTTCTTGAAGCATCTTGGAGACGTTGCCACAGTTATTCTGGATTTAGTCTGTTTCAGTTTGTTCATGTCTTTCTAGACAGACTGGATGATGATGAGATCAGATCTCAATGTGGATCACTGGCTGTTGTGCAAACAAAAATCTCACTGGATTATTACAATTAATGGCAAAATGAATGTTTGGAAATGTAAACTGATATTTCCTACTGACACACTACAGCAAAAGAAAGAAAGAAATGACTTAAAAACATTGTTTAGCTGGTGAAAATACTAGTGTTCTAATCATTTTGGCCACCACTGTATATATATATATATATATATATATATACAAAAAGGAGCTCAAATCTGTGTTCCTAAATGAATATGTTGCTGTTTTTGATGTGGCCTAAGTAGACCACTTTACACTGACCCTCTTAGCAGCATGAAAAACAAAACAGTTATTTACATTTTAAATAAATTCTATATGCCATACAATTGTGACATTTTGTACAAACTATAACAAGCTGTCATGACGGTGTGCTGGAGGATACATTTTCCATTTACGTTGATTTTAATGGGAGCGTTCAACAATAACAGCACTGTTGTTCTATTCTGTAAAGCTGCTTATCACTGAATTGAACTTGTTTCATAATTGATGAACTTATTGATGCAGTCCTAATCCTAATTTGTTTGGTTTATTGGCTGATTTGCGATTCATCTTGAATGCTTATTCAGCTAATGTTCTTAGTTAATCATTTTTCATTTATAACCTTTATCATCTGTTTAGACACACTAACCATTTAAATCATTGACTCTCTTTCTCCCTCAGCTGTGAGAATCCTCCCGACTCAGGACATCAAGACCTCCACTGCAGAAATCCCCAAATCCACAAGTTCTATTGCTTCTACACCTGCTTCCCGCCTCCTCACTTCCTCCTCTTCCCCTACCACCCACCCAAGCCTACCGACCCTTCAGTCCGACACGGGAGACTCCTCAGGACACAACAGCACGGCCTCTGCCCTGACAGTAGTGTCCTGGACGCAGTTTAACATCATCATCCTGGCCGTCATCATCGTGGTGGTCGTTCTCCTCATGGGCTTCGTCGGAGGCGTGTATATGTATCGTGAGTACCGCAATCGGAAACTCAACGCCCCGTTTTGGACCATTGAGCTGAAGGAAGACAACATCAGCTTCAGCAGCTACCACGACAGCATCCCGCACGCTGACCCCAATGGACTCTTGGAGGAGGAGCCATGTGTGGTCGCGGCCAATGGACAGTTAGCGCTCGCCACTGCCGCCAACATGTACAAAGCGTGAAGTCGTCGGTATGATTGTATCTTTTCTTAAAGGGATAGTTCAGCCAAAAATGGACATTCTGTTATAATTTTCTCATTCTCATGTCCTTCCAAACCTGACTCTTTTTTCAGTGGAACGTAAAAGAAGATATTTTGAAGACACTAAAAATAAGTGGAGTCCGAAACAAAATTGGGCCAATTTCAATGACCTTTTTAGCATTCCACTGAAGAAACAAAATCATGCAAGTTTGGGATGATATTAGAGGGATAGTTCACCCCAAGAATGAAAAAATTCTGTCATTAATTACTCACCCTCATGCTGTTCCAAACCTGTAAGACCTTTGTTCATCTTGGGAACACAAATTAAGATATTTTGATGAAATCCAAGAGCTTTCTGACCCTGCATAGACCGCAACGTAACTACCACGTTCAAGGCTCAAAAAGGTAGTAATGGCATCGTTAAAATAGTCCATGTGACATCAGTGGTTCAACCGTAATGTTAGGAACCATGAGAATACTTTTTGTGCAAAAATAAAACAAAATTAACGACTTTATTCAACAATTTCTTCTCTTCCGTGTCAGTCGTCGAGGCACGTTCACGGCATTCTGATGTAGAATATCCATCTCTCTTAGCTATTAAGTCTGTGTATTCTGGTTCGAATAAGTAAGGCTGGGCAAAAAGTTGCAAGTCATCCTCCGATGAAATCTTCAGACATGTTTACAAAGACTGTTTTATGTACAGCGTGCGTCTTTCTCTGCTTGTAAACAAGACACAGTGTATCTGGGTTCTATGTCAGAACGCCGGCTCTCGTGAACGTGCATCGAAGAGAGATTGTTTAATAAAGTCGTTATTTTTGTTTTCTTTGTGCACCAAAATATTCTCATAGCTTCTTAAAATTAAGGTTGAACCCCTGATGTCACATGGACTATTTTAAAGATGTCCTTACTACCTTTCTGGGCATTGAACGTGGTTGCGTTGATGTATGAAAGCTCTCGGATTACATCAAAAATATCTTAATTTGTGTTCCGAAGATGAACAAAGGTCTTATGGGTTTGGAATGACATGAGGGTGAGTAATTAATGACAGAATTGTCATTTTTTTATTTTGGGGTGAACTAACCCTGTAAGGATGAGTAAAGGACCAAATTTTCATTTTCTGATGAACTATCCTGTTAATTTGGATGATTCTTGAAAGAAGGTAGCCTGGGAGCCAAAACTTTATTTGATTCTACACACTATTTAGCTCCCCATTGCTTCCTATGTGATGTCCTCATGCAAAGTGTTTTCACGTACAATATTTCCTGTAACATTTCAGAGAGGACTCAAGGAAATACAAGACAAGCCATTAACATGTTACTCCTTAGACACAATAATGATAAAATGCGAATACATTGCCTCTTAAATGAGCCTCTGAACTGTGTGCGTTTGAGTTTAAGGATGCTAAACTTCGGTTAATAGCTACATGAAAGGGGATTTCACTATTTCAGAGGCAGCTGAAAGACCTTTGGACCCACATGCCAAGATAATTTCACCTAAAACCTTTTTGTATAGAAAACTCGCAAGGTTTCAGTCTGTCCCAATTGCACAACCTGGGAAATTCACTTTTGCTTTGCAATTTTCAATGGAAATCAGAGGAAGTTCATTCAATCTGCAAGGCTTTTGTAAAGGAAACAGACTGCCTGTTTCAAGTCCCGTGTGTGTGCGTGTGTCTTTGACAGATACTATTTCATACAATGGCGGCACTTTGGATTTCTTTAGAATGCAGTCTCGCTTTGATTTCCTCTTTACACAATTCCTGTCACGGATTGGTTCCAAACTGAACATGCAACATAACAGTCATACCTGTAACACTAGCACCTGTTTCAGCCTTATTGTATTTATGCGCGAGTGGGTGGATGTGTATGTGCGTGCATGGGAGAGCGAGAGAGAGAGAGAGCTGGTGTTGTGTGTGGGAACAGTTTCAGATCTAACTGTGTAGAGCTGGATTCTACGCAGGAATGTACAAAAAGACTGGATTGATTCTGCTGCATAGTTTCACAAAAACTGATCAAACGTTTGACACAATATTGTAGACTTGAAAGCCATGTAAGCATAATATGACCCAGGAGGAGCATGTTCAGAGGACTTTGTGAAGTGGAAAGACTGATTTTGGGAACCTATAAGGTACGACGGTGGACACAGTGTTTTTTTCCTCCATTTATCTGCAAGGACCCTTTTAAATGTGATTCAGGATCATTTTGATGATTTGGACAAACGACTGGTGTTTGAATTATTGTGTGTTGTTTTTTTTCTATTCGAGTTTGTTTTGTTAATTCCTATTTATTTATCATTTGTATTTGTCTCTGTGGTCTTATTTTATTGATGTTTTTCCATCTTCATGCTGCATTGTACAGTGTACCATACCGAATGCAAACTCTGTAGACCGAGTTGTGAGCACAACCTCAAAAGATGTTTTGGAAGTCTTATTTTCTCCTCTTATTTTCTTTCTAATTTATTTAGTCAGGTTACGCATTAATAACTCGTATACAATGGGATGTGGGTGGAAAATACTGTATTTTTGTCATTTCTGAGTTCCTGAGTGGTCAAATGACTGAAATTAAAGGATTATTGAATCAAAGGACATTCTTCAATGAGATGACACTTTTTGAGATGGCTTGTGGGAGAGTGTGTCTCTTTTGGATGTTAACAGGAAACCAAAAACTAAAATTCTGTAAATCATGTCACTCCAAACCTGTGACTTTTTTTTCTTCTCTGGAACATGAAAGAAGATATTTAAAAAAAAAAAAAATGCAATTTTTTTTTGTCCATACAATAAAAGTCAGTGGAGCCTGATGTTGTTTTGGACCCCATTCTTTTTCTTTATACAGACAAAAGAGTTAAACATATTGGTCATATTGGTTTCGAACAACACATTTTTTTTTGGATGAACTATCAGTTTAAAATAACATCTCTTTCCCACTTTAACGTGGACAGTCAACAAGTTGGTTTCATTTGTGGTGCTATCATTGCTCTGTTTGTTTGATCATCCCGACCAGCCTGACACAGCAACTGCTCAGCCAATCATGTGAGTTTTGGTGGTGTTATTTGTCTGACAGACCAATGGAAACTGTTCAACACGTTTATAAAACATTTTTGAAAATAGTCTGTTACACATTACACATTTTACCTTTAAAGTTCTGTTCACACCAAGAACGATAACTATATTAGCATCCATAACAATGCATGATAAAGTTTTGTCTATTGTAACGTGCTACAGTTTTGTCATCTACTGCTTTAAATGCTCCAGCGCTTCAAAGCAGGATGGATTCTGATTGGCTGTCAGTGTTTTTATCATTCATTAGCTGGAGAAAAAAAAATAAAAATCAGTGTGAAAGCAATTCCAACTATACCATTCAGCGCCGTTATCGTAATAGTTGTGGTGTGGGCTCTGGTAAATTTAAAAGTGACATTGAAGGTGGGAGAGAGCTGTACATTCACTCCCCCCACCTACAATCCCTGCCGGTACGAGACTCAAACCTCTAACCAACTCTCCAACCAACCAATAGTCCAACTCTCTAACCATTAGGCCACGACTTCCCCAATTTAGAATGATTATTAAAACTGTATCTTTGTTATTATCATTATAGTCCTTTGCCCTTGGTGTGAACGGGCCTTAAATCTAAGATTTTGCCATTTGGAAGAAAGAAAAGTCATTTTTGACACTTGAATTTTTAAATGCATAATTCTTAAAACAAAAGAAGCACACCAAATTAGCAGAATAACTTGTAACATGTTGCAACCTCGATCAGCCTGCAGCTGTGTGTTTAGGTTTCACCGTACTTTCCCAGTACACAAAAAATACTGTAGAACTGCTAATCAGAAGGCATCTGAGTTTACAATGAACTGAATAAAATGAGCCAATTGGAAGTTTTTGTATTCAGGACAGCCTTTGTTCTTCGAGGGTGTAGCTCCGTCCAGCTCAGCCAAGAGTAATTCTGACCCAACCTTTCTTTTACGCGAGAGCTGTTGGATGACGGCCATCTGTCAGGAATCTTTATACTGTTATGACTGAATGATATTGACCGATTATGTGTGCATTGTTTCCTGATGGGTGAATGTACATGTGAATCATTCAAAGTTTTCAAATTGATTTCTTTTACAGGAATATCAAGCACATTTTTGTGCACTTATCAGTGACAGATTGTGACAGGCTATAAAAAAGAAAACATACTGTAAACTGACAGTACATATCCAGAGGCAATATATTATATTATACATTCATTTATTATTATAAAAAAGACATTTACATAAGATTTTATTTCACACAAATGTTTTTAATACTTTTTTTAATTTAAATCATTTTTTTTGTATCCCACAAATTGTTTTCAACACCAAAAATAATAAGAAAATTTAGCTTTGCTATCACAGGAATAAATTACATTGTAATATATATATATATATATACAGTGGGTACGGAAAGTATTCAGACCCCCTTAAATTTTTCACTCTTTGTTATATTGCAGCCATTTGCTAAATTGTAATATTATTTTAAAATATTACTGTATTAATCAAATAAATGCAGACTTGCTGACCATGAGAGACTTCAAAAACAATACAAAATCTTATATGACTTCAAATGGTAGTATGAGATACTGCTTTTATACAACAGTTCAACAGCAGTTACATTTTACATTTACATTTTAGTCATTTAGCAGACACTTTTGTCCAAAGCGACTTACAAATGATGACAATAGAAGCAATCAAAACCAACAAAAGAGCAATAATATGCAAGTGCTATGACTCGGTTAGTGACTAACGACTCGGCAAGTCTCGGTTAGCCGTAGCTCGTAGCAAGGCGTTTTTTAAAATATATAAGTTAATACTGAGTAATTTACATTTTAGACAAATACTGTCACTTACTTGATCTAGTTTGGTTCTGCCAAACTAAGACGTTCCAAAGAAAGCAACAGTGATGCCGTCTGATTCTTGAATAAATCAGCAATGAATCTGTTGAGTGAACTAGTTAATGACTTAGTCATTTGTCGCTACCTATTGACATATATATGAAACCTACAGAATCACAAGTCAGAAACCTATAGAATCAGAGTCACAAAAGTGTGTATCCCACCATTAAAGCACACATCCCAATACTGCTCGAGTGTATATCATCACTCTTGGAACACCATTGAATCAATCAAATTAAAGGACCGGAACTAAATGTTGTATGTAATAAAATAAATATAATACATAGTGGTGCCCCAACCCATGGATAATCTGGCATTCAAAATGTCATTTAAACCTGTAAATACAGAAATGCTGCATGCTGCACTATTTCTAGGTCACTAATCAAATAAGTAAATTCGTGAGACTCTCGACTCTCGCTCTTTGGATCATTCTTGTGTCATTCTGGCAATTTGATCATCAGGGTTTTTGCAAACATATGGGATATGCAAATTTATGATCAGATTGTTAGCACAAACTGTAAAAAAAATGCAACACACATTTCACTTGTGATCTTATACTTTTCATACTGAATCAATGATTTGCTTCACAAATGCAGATTAGTAAAGGCAAGAAAAATGTGCCAAGTATTCACAGTCAGTTGGAGCTGCGGTTGATCATTATATGGCAATCTTTGACGTTTAAACAGTGTTGAATCACTTCTATAAACCAGCCTTGATTTATTGTGTCTGACTGCACTAACCCTGTTGAATCTAATAAAGGGGTAATTTAAAACTTAAAGGTATCGCCATGATAAGAGCTGCAATTAATAGCTGGAAAACTTTATAACAAATTAGGTGTGAAGTTGAGTGTGACTGATCTGTGTATATCAGTATACTGTCATAGAAACTATCAATTACCTTCAGACCTGACTCGGATAGCAACACGTTTGGATATTTTTTGTCTAAAAATGATGGTAAACACTTTGAACTACAAAAAGGATGGAAGTAGAGCTGAAAAGCAGCATTCCTTTTTTTGCAAGATTGGTCTAAGCTTCCATTACCTAAATGGAAAGTCTGGGCCGAGATAATATCCTGATTGTGCCAAGCACTGTGACGACAGCCACGTGCCCAAACAGTCAAAGTGAAAGACAGTAAACCAGGAGATGTTTAATGAATAAATGCGGAAAAAGGAAAATTAGACAAAAACTAAGTATTTTTATATTTTGCTTCCAACGAGAGGACCCACAACCTAATTGATAACAAACAAATGAGGTCTTAAATGTTTAACAAAAAGATATCCAGTAAGAAACCAGATCAAATGTGTTACAGGAAAGCAAAATAACATCCAGTCTTCGCCTCATAAATGAAATGTTTAATGCAGACTTGGACAGATGTGAGAATGTGATTTCCCCAAGTTCACAAAACCCTTCCAATGAAAGGAGGGGAAAATGCCATAACTCAAAAAAATTCTTCACATTTCTACGTCTTTTTTTTCCTTGACAAACAATAAGAAGGCAACTTGACAACACAGTTTTGGAGCTTTATGCAAACAAGCCGTTTGCAATAATGTAATCAACACGTTTTGCTAGAACTTTCTCTTCGCAGCAGTTGACTGTTCTACATACCTAAAAACCCACATGCATGGCATTGCGTGTCATTCCTGGCCTTGCGCCATTCCTGTACACACCTTTTTATACTCCTCCAGAGTAGAAAAGCTTTATGTGCTGCTGCAAAATAATCAAAAAGGGTTAGAGGTTTTAATTTGAAGTTTTAATGTAATATCCGATTATTTATGCATCTAGCAGTGTTTTTGGTCTAATTTTATTTGGAACTTAATGTGACTTCTGTGGCTATGGTAGTGTTTCATAAATATGTTATGGTAAATATTTTTTGATAACTTACATTTTAAACAACACAGGGTTACATTCAGGCAAGAGTCAACTACATAATGTGTTCTGTGGACAAGCGTATTGTTTATAAATATCAAGTTGTGTGTTAAATGTTCAATTTTTTTTAATTATGTTGGCTTGAGAAAGTATTGTAGCTATTTAATATTATTTAATATTCTGAGTGGTGCTGTTTTCTATCCTGTTTTGCCCCTTTCTTTGAAACGTTCTTTTGATTTTTATAGGTGTGCTGCATTCAAGACTTGGAAGCAAATGCCTATTGCTATGACTGGCTAACAGTTTTGCATATTCAAATAAAAGATGGACGCTGTTGTGATGTTAAAAACGTATAAATACTCAGTACATATCAAATGATTTGTAACAGAGAAAACAATAGTGACACATGATAAAACACTGTTACTCACACTTGTGTGTTGCGACATTGCTGTCTGATCCAGTAATGGTACTGTATCATCGCCAAGGTGTGTCTTGTTTAAAAACAAATCCAAGGTGAAATGAAGTGAACAAAGGAAAAGCATCCTACTGATAAAGATAAAACAGTAAACTGACATCTCATTTTATTTCTGACCTTAGAGTACTCCTAGAAACTGTTCAGAAAATGCTCAAACTTTCGAACTTCAATCTTAAAACTTTCAGTCCTCTGGCTTTCTCCTGGCCACCACAAAGTTCGTCCTGATGCTTTTTTTTCCTAGTTCCAATATTTGTTGGCTACAACAACAGTGCATTTTATTTGTTCATCTTAACATCTCCATTTCCCCTGTGACAACTTACCCTATATATGGTGTACATTAACGCATTTAGTCACAAAAGGTCAGAGATGTGTCTCTTTTTTCTCCTGGGCAATAGCCCCCATTACTATCCAGATAAGTAAAGTGTGTGACAATTAGCCCCAGTAAGTAATGCAATATTTTTATGAAACATGAATTGTGTTTATAATCAGTATAAAGCATATGTTAAGCAAGGATAACAACAGCAAGAAGAAAAATGTTATTGCATATTTGCTCACACTGCTTTTTTACCAGCAATTCATTTTATATTATTATGATAAAACCAGAATAATAATCAACAGTAATATTCAGAATCGAGGGCGCTTAAGGGACCTGGATGGATAGAGGTGTGCAGGCTCTGTAAAGGTGGCGAAGCACTGATTTACAGCTTCGAACACACTACTAGCTATGGCGAAGCGTACTTGTTTATTTCCTCAGGCTGTACGAACTTGGCTCGGAGTCAAGCAGGTCTTGCATGAGCAAAGCAGGAAGCGACACTGGATCGTCTGGACTGAGAGCCTCATGTGTTCATAGTATCGAAACTCCACGAGTAGGCTGTTTGTTTTGGGCGTTGGAGAAAACACGTGGGAGAAATATACATAGCCTATATATAGAGGAGTCTGAGGGCATGGAGCGGCGCTTTTAAACTGTCCGTTATGGAGATGACAAACGAAAAGGTAGCCTGTCAAGTCCACGCAGTTTTAATGGAGCCGGAGCCAGAGCCAGAGCCCGAGCCCGTGAGCCGTCTGAGGACAAAGTACCGCTCACTGCGGCGACAGGTGTGCCTCATGCAGTCCATCAGCGTGCTCTTCTGCTTCAGCTGCTGCCTGTTCACGCTCCTGTATCACGCGTTCCTGCCGACCTGCAAGGTAAAAGACGCACAATAGTCACGTTACTGCTCAGTGACCCTTTGAAAGTGCTTTAGAAACCTTTGCAACGGAGTTCATTTATAGGTAATAGGCTACTCGTACACGGCAACACTGCAGTACAGTAGCCTATGTTATAACCGTTTTAACATAGATTTCATAACATATAAAAAGTGTGTCAAATGACCTAGTCTTTATTTCCATAACGTTTTTTTCTTGTCTTAAGTTTTCCATTAGTGACTATTTATTAGATGGCAATACCTTAGTTATGAGACACTACTTGATTTTTACAGATTTATTTATTTATTGATACTACGATTAAAAATGTAGTTAGTGTTAATTTGATTATAATTCATATAGGTAATAGTTGAGTCTGAAGTAGATACTAATAACTATTGTCACTAGTAGTATGAAATAAGTTACTAAAACTAGGACATATAGCCAGGAGTGACTGAATTGCAAACTGGTCAAAAGTGAATAGCTGATGCACAGAGAATTCAATGGCACGTTTTTTTTTTTAAAGTGTTACCAGTAGTAATGGCATATGATAATGACTTATAGGATAATGACTAATAAAAAAGGAATAAGTGCTAGTATTTAGTAAATATGTAATAATACATACACTCTTAAAAATAAAGGTGCTTCACGATGCCATAGAATAACCATATTGTCTAAATTGTTCCATATAAGAACCTTTAACATCTGAAGAATCTTCAGATTATAAAAAGGTAAGAAAGCGATAGTTCTTTAAAGAACCTTTGACTGAATGGTTCTTTGTAGAACCAAAAATTGTTCTTTTATTTGCATCGCTGTGAAGAACATTTTACGCACCTTTACTAGTTACTAGTGTAATGGAAAAATATGCTGCTCACTATTTGATTACTTGAAAGTTCAGAAATAAGACCTTTCTGCTAAGCACTGGATTCATTCCTTATTGGAAATACTATATCTTGAACTGTCTTCTTGCTCGGACTAATCACGCAAAACCTGCTACTCTTATCTATTTGGAAGAACTGGATTTCCATAGTCTCGAAGATTTTGGTCATTTGATCTAATGATGTCATTCTGTTGTTAATATTATTACCTATTCTGTTTTTATATATTTTTATTTATTTGATTTAATATTGTTTTACTTTTGTGTTTGTCTGGGTCCTGGGGTGTGATGGGGTGGGTAGTGGTTTATCTAATATGTTTTCTCTCCATTGTTGTAATGTGTTTTTTGTGTGCTCTATCAAAATAAAAAAAAACAGTGAATTACAAAAGAAAAGTTCTGAAACAACTGAAATGCACAGTTATAGAATCAATACCTAGATCAATTAAGGATTCATTGTGTGTGTATTAAACTATGTACAATTGCTCTCTTTTTATAGGAAAATGGAACCAAGGAGGCACTTACATTTGGTAAGTTAGTTCATTATTTACTAATAAAGCTGAATTCTATTGTAAATACTAAATTTAGTGTCTTCCACATTGTGGTTATGTAAATTCATAGTAATACAAATCTTGCATTTTTCATCCATATAGGAATGCAGTATCAAGGTGCTGAATCGCATAGCAGAGAAGATACAATCCCGACAGAAAGAAGCACATCTTTCACTCGCTTGACAGGTACGAAGTATATACACTGACTGCAATAAGACATAATGCACAAGTAGAAGTGAATACAAAACATAATTACCATTAAGATAAGATGAACTGTCAGCAAGAGTTATACTCTTAATCAGACAACTTATGTCTATACTCTTAGGGGAAAAAAAGTGCAATGCAGTTTTCATTCTCAGAGATACTTATGAATGTAAAACATTTTTTGGCCAAGTGTATTCACACATTTCCCTTCTCTCTAGTTAAAGACAATGTCAGGTTCACTAAAGAAGAAGGATATGTGCCGTGGATGTATACACCAGAGTATCCGAAACCAAACCATACCAGATACTTCATCCTGGATGACGATAATGAATCTCTGAAAGTCCTTCAAGGCGGAACATACAAGGTTTCTCTTCAGATTACATACAGAAAATTCAGTGAAAACACAGGGGAAATATTTCTGCAACATGATATTCGTCATTATACTGATGAATATGATAGACCCCTGCCCCTGCTCACCCACTGGGAAACAGTCAACCTCAAATACTGGAGGAAAAGTCTGTTCTCTGAGGGTATTTTTTCTCTCAAATCTGGGGACAGACTCAAGGTGTGGTCCAAGAATCGGAACCTCATTGACGTTGGAGGGACAATTTCGCAAAAAACAGCCTTTGTGGCATATCCTCATTTTTCCACATGAGGATACGGCGAATATAGAAATCACAAAAAAGGCCATTTCTTTTGTAGCTTTGCATAAAAATCAAAAGGGCTGCCATGAAGTATCACATTCATCTGAGACGACCTTATGGTCTAAACAGATTCTTCTTCTGTCAACAGAATAATTTGAATCTCAGATTTATTTATGCTATAATCAATAGCAGAGGTATGTACAGAAGAAAACCCTTATGAAAAAATACTGCGATACAGTAACGGTGTCACAAGGTAATACCAGGGTACTTTGATATCAACTATGGTACTGAAAATCATTCCTTCTAGGGTAGTTTTTCAAGAATATCATGGTACATGTAAAACAGCATGCTAATAACATAGTATTTTTTGGTATTTTCTTTTGTATGAGAAGACTGTTCTGCTTCACGGCTGGGGACAAAACAGGCATTGGCTTGGGTTTTTAAAACATTTTTAAGCACTACAACTGTGGAGGAATTGTAATTTAGTAATGAAGTTGTATTTTTGTTTCATTTTGATTGAATTTGGTACGAAAATATACCGTTGTATGCATTAACACACTTTATACAACAGTTCGTTCTGGTTCTCAAATCTGATTGGTTGAGAACCGTGATATATTGTACTGGTATCGCAAAAGGAACCGCCTTTCACAATTTTGTATTACTCCACTTGTTCTAGCCGGGTCTATGTTTTTTTTTAATTATTCACTGAGCTAATCGTAGAGTACGTTAGTTAATATAAGAAGAAACGTCTAGCTTCGCGGTCTCTCTCTCTCTCATTTGGATGCACGTCTTGCCGCATTGTTTCTCTCTTATAACCTCATTATTTCTCACTAATAACCTAACTGAAGCAGCACATGCCCTTGATACGAATTCTAAAAGTGACGTATGTTTAACTGTCAACTTGAGCTTTGAATCCGTGGCGGAAGGAAGTAGTTCCGCACAAAAGAGGGTTTTATTAGGCACTCCGTTGTTTCTTGTTTAATTACACACATGTTCCGTCGAACTGTTGTATAAACGCAATATCACTCGAGTATGAGAGCGATACCGGCTCTATATCAGCGGCTGTGATTGCCTGCGGCACTCGGCCTCTGGCCTAATCACAGCCATGCTGATATAGAGCCGGTATCGCTCTCATACTCGAGTGTATTTCTCATGTATACTATAATATTTATGCCATTGTAATGTCTTTATATGCTTTTGTATGTTATTATTGTCTGATGAAGGATTTGGGCTGTTAATGCAAAGGTTACCGGTTCAGTAACATTATGGAGTGAAGAGAATGATCAATACCCTGTATTGCGCTGTTCCCTAGTGTGTTTTTGAGGTGCATCATGGTTGCTGTCATTGGAATTTGTAAGCTATAAGTTACTTTGTATTAAATAGGTTTGCAATCACCAAATATGACCTTCATAATGAAATTGCATAAAACAATCATTTTATGTATTTGAATACATCTTCATACTGACATTATTCTTTGACCATGAAGAATCAATAAATACTATCACATAAAGCTGTCTTTGTTTTCATAATATTTTTCAGAATTTTTACAGTATATCAGGAATATTTTTCTGCTATATTTCAGAGGTTTCAGACAGCAGATATTTAAGAATAATATTTTAGACATTCAATTCATGCAGCATTAGAAAATGTCTATATACAGTATAGTTTATTTACACACTAGGTTTAGGTTTACAAATGGTTTATCAATGTTAAATAAGACCGTATCATATACATTAGTTGTAACTCCTCCTGATAGAAAATGCTCTTACGGCATTTGCTTCAGAATTGCTGTCTGACAGATAAGAGACTAAACCCACAATTATCTGCTTACTAAGCAGCCCTGTTGGCATTGAGGACAAGTCAATTGGTTCTAAATAAACATGATCCATTTACATTAGGTTTATACTGCACAACTGCACTTGTGGCGATCTGAGTTCAATTCCTGTCTTGAGGTCCTTTGCCGATTCCCACCCCCTCTCCGCCCAATGCTTTCCTGTCAGCTCTCCACTGTCCTCCTGTCCCAATAAAGGCATAAAAAAACCATCATTATAATTTAAAAAAAGAAAGAGAAAAGTCAGAGCATCTCAAAAACACCAAGTCTTGTGGGACATCCTGGTATGCAGTGGTTAGTACTTACCAAAAGTGCTGCAAGGAAGAACAATGTAAACCAGTCAGTTACAACCAGTTACGGTCATGGGTGACCAAGGCTCACTGATGCATGTGGGGAGTGAAGACTAGCCTGTCTGGTCCCATCACAAAAATTGCTAATGCCATGATAGAAAGGTGTCAGAACACACAGTGCCTCTAAGTTGTGAATGGTCAGGTGGGTGCATCATTTACCTGGAGAAGAGATGGCAGCAGCGTTATGCTCTTGGCAATGTTCTGCTGGGAAACCTTGTGTCCTGGCAATCTTTTGAATGTTACTTTGACATGTACCACCTACCTAATTCTGATTGCTTGTGTCATGTTTGGTTTCTGTTCTAGGACTCTGTTCATTTGGTCCTATTGTTTCTGAGTTCATAGTTCTTGTATTTTGTTGCCTATATCTTCTGTTATGTTCCACAGAAGAAAGAAAGTCAGTTTCTAGTATGTTCTCGTTTGTTTCCATAGTTACCTATTGTTGAACACCAGGGCCTGTATTAACAAAACATCTTAAGGCTAAAAGTAGCTCATAACTTGCTGATTTAGGAGAAAATCTTAAAAATAATGGGTGTGCCAGTCCTAAATGTAGGACTCCTACATTTTTGCTCTAAGAGTATTTCTCACAAAGTGTTTTAGCACTAAAACTAGTAGTGAAGAGGACTCCTACGTCCAAAGACCAAATCACAACAATCCTAAAATGGCTGTTGCCAGAAATCTGCCTAGGAATGTAAACATTTTAGAAACATACGAGCTTTGAAAAATGTACTGCCTTTGGTTTTGGAGGTAATCCCAACTCGAAATTTTCCTTTGATTATATCCTTGTTTTCATTAACCAGTTGGGGAAGAAGTAACAGCTGTTCTTGCGTCCAGTTTAGTTTTCTTTTACGTTTGCATATCTTACTATCAGCCATGATTATTCTACTCTGTTAATTAAAAGGCTGTTTATATGCATATCCGCTAATTGTTTATGATAAGCGCACATGTAAGATGCTGACAATTAGCTGAGCACACTGTATATGAACATTTGAATGTGGTAAAATTTTTATTTTTAAACCTTTATTTGAATAGGGCACCATAATATCGCGCTCTACAATATTTCTATGAATAAATCTCTGACAGAGAGCCCTCCCCTCTCAGCCAATCACTGTGTGCATAGTTAGTAAGCATGCTGACATCATCCATAGCAACGAGGTCAACCCCGTCCTTACTTTTAAAGCCCGGAACACACCAAGCCGATGGTCGGCTGTCGGCCAGTTTTTGTTCATTGGCCGATTAAGTTTTCTCAGTGTGTTCTGCACCGTCGGCTGAAGTTGGTCCTTGTCTGCCTTTTTTTCCGGCCGATTCGACATGTTGAATCGGCGTCGGAGCTCGTCGGTCAGTCGGGCCATCTGATCATTCTGATTGACTGTTCAGCTGGCGAACGAGTGCACGAGAAAAAAAAAAACTTCTTACGCAGACGCAGAACGGATGTGCTACTTGGCCGTCGGGTGTCGAGAGTTGGCTTGGTGTGTCAGGGCAACTTTGGACCCAGACACTGCCGACCCCGCAGGCTGCTTTCGTCGCCACTAGTTCATCAGCATCGGCTTGGTGTCTTCCGGGCTCAGAAAAAGCTAACTTTAGCCTGATAGCACCGAAAGAGAAAGGCCCAATCCCAATTCTACCCCTTAGCCCTGTCTCGATTCTCTTTTGGTTGGAGGGGTAGGGGTAGGGGAAGGGCCAGATAGCCCTTCAAACGAAGATTTTTTGGGACCACACTTCAGAAGGGGTATGAATTATTTCAGCGTAAACCGGCTTCAGCTGCAACACGGCAACATGGCTGCCCGAGCGAACAAAAAGACATAAATGTAAGCATTTTTGGCATTAATAAAGATTTTGACGAAAAGTAATCATTTGTTTTATGTTACATTCAATCGTGAGTTCATATTTACGGTCATGTTACTCAAAGAAATGTTTGCAAAATATCTCTAAAGTTTATTAACGTCATATCATTACAGACTGCACGATAGTGCCACAACATATTTTCATGTCTGATCAGGGCGATAACCACCATAGATAGACATTGAGGGGGGCTAGTCCCCCCAATAATTATAAATGGCTAAACCCTTTTCTCAAATATTGCCAATTGGAGAGCGAGAGAGAGAGAGATGAAAGTTGCGTGTATGCGCGTTTCTCTTTTTAGAGTGAGTTTACTTCAAAAACAGCGATTTTATCCTCTTGTTGCTGGAAAATATCATGTAGCGATTCAGTATTTAAACTGTTATTAATAAAAGTCGTGGGGCAGCGTTGACAAGTATCTTTGCTCCTGGATGTGTGAGCTGCGCGATCTCTGATATGTGTGTGTGTGTGTGTCAGTAAGCAGTGCATTAATATAGAACGATAATTAAAGGCTCTATTGCTCACCAGCATAGGTGTGTGTATTATAGGAGCTAGACGACGTATGATGATGTGTGACAGCATAGTAGTGGTGTCCCAATTCTTAGGGGAATATTTTCACCCCTACCCCTTGACACTCTGTTTCAAGGGACAAGGGGAAGGGGTAGGCAGAAGGGTAGGGGAAGGGGAAGGGGTATAAAATAGAATTGGGATCGGGCCAAAGTCCCACCCTTCCTGCAATCGCCGTCCAAAGCCACGCCCCCTGAACGCATGCGCACACCACCCAACTTCATGCTGCGCCGCAAAGATCGCCTGACAAAAGCAATGCATTCTGGTTAGAAAATTTGTCCAACTTTGATCGGTGCTGCAGCCGCCTTATGATCATATGTGCCATCAAAGTACCGCAAGAGCAAAACGGGACCAGTCGCCTAGGTCAGGTGCTGCAGTTGCTCAAAGTCGGATGCAAAAGCCTTGATGACGACACACTTGATTCTCATTGGTCAGAATCTGTGATGACAAGGACGACATGTTTTTTCTTAGACAAGTTCCTGTATTTAACCAATCTTGATATTGAATATATCTGATATTCAAAGAAAAGATTTGTTTTGTTACAAAACACACAAAACATTAACAAAAATTAAGATTAGGTGATCTAGTAAATATATATTCTTATTGTATATGGACGAAAAGCACAAAGTGTACGGAAAGTGGCTGACCTGACGGCCGTCTCTTTACTCCTCCCCCGCCTACAACCGGCAGGTCTCACCAGCCAGTGGCAGGCTAGTGCAATCTATCTCGAACAAGCCTAACATTACTACAATACATTTGTCATTCACCGGTGAGAAAACTTTAGCACAGTTAGTAAAAGTATTACAATACCAGGAAAGGAAGATCAGGTTGTTGATGTTTGCCTGCCATTCTCGCTCTGTCTGCACAGCGTATGTGAACGGGCTGATGACGTATCATGTCTGCGCGAACAGGGTGCACAGAGGTATGCTAATACATATTTGACAGGCAGGTAGGAAAGCCAATTAAAATGCTCGGACCGAG